ACTCAAAAGATTCTACGCTCAATAAAATCAAGAAACGCTAAGGCTATGGTTCATCTTTCAAGATTTTCCTTCAAGTTCTTCAAGAAGATGATTCTTTCAGGTGTGTAAGCTTTCATAGTGTTGGGTTTGTTCGCCCTCATGCTAATCATGTTTAATTCTATCCTTGAATTCGTTTTTGAGATTGAATTATTAAGTTCTTGAGGAATTCTAGAGTTTTAGCCAATATTGATAATCTTATTGAGTTCTTGAGGTTTGTGCTTCGTTCTTTGATAATTAAGTTATCATTGAGTACCAGAGGGGAGGGTTTGCGAATAAGATGAGTTTATTGATAGTTCCTTGTGTGGGTTTCGCTGAAATTGTTTTGGGTTAAAAGAATTCGTGAAATTTGACCTTAGAATTGCAGTAGGTGTGAGTTGATTCGAGTTTGAGAGAGGAAGCAAAGATCGGGCAAAAATATGTGCCCAGCTCTGCGTCGCAGAGGTGTTTTAAACATTCAGTCCCCCAAAAAGTACCCCTCTCTCCGCGTCGCGGAGAGGATATGGAGTCCACTGTCCTAAAATTTATTTTTGCGATTAAAGATGTAATTCTATCTCCGCGTCGCGCCAATGTTATTTAATTTGGGTCTTCTCCCGTTCTTGTGATCAACTATATTAACCCTCCTAAAACATTGAGAGGTCCTACATTTCGAAGCATAACCCTTGAATCCATAATTCAAATTCAAGGTAGAGTTAAGGGTTAAGTTTTGAGAATTCATTCGAACATTCTAAGAAAGTCCCTTTGATCGCTTTTGAGGAGTCTTCTACAACTCCTAGTAATTTGTTTCAAGGCTCGAGTAAGTGAGTAGGAGGTTGAGGAAAATGTGTTCATGAGTCTACTTTGTCATTAAGAGATCTTTCCTATAATGAACCATAACTCTTGAATTCATAAATCATATTCAAGGGAGAGTTAAGAGTAGAGTTGAAGAATGCCTTTGAGTTCAACTGTGAATCCTTTGAGATCAACTATCGAATTGAACTAAGTTTTGAGGAAATAAGTCAGAGAATAAGAAGAGTCGTATGCATGAGTTCCATATTGTTATGTAGACCATCGAATCGAGTTGTTTCATGCCCATAATTCCGCATGAACTTCGTAAGTTGAGCATCCTTCATAGAAGTGGTATCTTCAAGTTCTAAGCATTTAAGTGTTGAGTTCCTAATCCCTTTTGAGAAGTATCTTTGAGTCATTGAGTTGAACATTTCATTCCCATAATCCCGCATGAACACTATAAGTCGAACAGTCTTGAGATGAGTAGTATCATTGAAGTTCTTGAGTTCCAAGTATTGAGTTCTATCTATGGTTACTGAAAACCTTGCATTGAGTCGTTCACGTCCATAATTCGGCATGAACCATATTTTATAGTCTTTTACAAATATTGTAACTTTGTTTTAAGACTTAAGCTTTAACGTTGAGTAAAGCGTAAGAGTAAAGTTCATTTTCTTTAAAATGTTATATGGGAATGTTCCCAAGAGTAAATGTTTTCACATTTAAGATGAGAGGAAACTGAGATTTCCAAAAGAGTTTTGAGCAAGAAAGGGAATATCGATTCCGAGAGAGCTTTTAAGCTAAGTTTTGAGTAATCATCTCAAACCAAAGAAAGAGTTTTGATTTTACAAACACATGAACTAAGTATATTTTAGGAGTAGTATTGAGCACCGATATGGGGATGCGAGTTCATATTAACTCAAGTCTCCATAAACCATGTAGCCATCATGGGTAGAAAAGTGTCATACTTTTTAGATGATTCTTTAGTGCTTTTTAGCATAGACTAGTGGATCCACTTAGCGAGTTAGGTTCTATACCCCCGGCAAGGTATAGGACGGTCCTTGGCAGCGTGAGGTAAGACATTGTATCACCACTTAGGCTCATAGTGGTGGTTGTCGGTTAGAGAAACTCCCACAAAAACTATTTTACTTTATTATATAAGTAAAGTTGAGTTTGTTATTGCATTTTCTTTAACGAACTAAGTTGTTTTTACTGTTTTATAAAGCTTTCCACATATTGCATGTATATTGTTGCTTTATATTGGGTTGAGTATCCAGAGGTGAGTATCCAAAGTCTAATTCATATCTTATCTATGAGTTGAGTAGCTCTGAGTTGAGTAAGTTTGAGTAGTTTTGAGTATCCTTGAGTATTCCTTGAGTTAAGTAAGTTTGAGAAGAGGTAAGTATGGTTCCTTTTTATCAAGTTCAAGCTTATGTTTATGTTTTAGAATTCCCCTTACATGCTCGTACATTCCACGTACTGAGATATTTGGCCTGCATCTTTTCATAATGCAGACACAAGTATTCAAGATCATCAACATGAGATTTGTTGATACATCCGGGAGTTCAAGTTAGCTATGGTGAGCCTCCTTGTTTTCAGAGGATTTCATTTACTTTTCAGTTTAGTCAGGATGTCGTGGGTCTTGTCCTGACTTCCATCTTTACCAGTTAGAGGCATCATAGATAGTCAGTATAGTTGAGAAGTCTGTATTATTCATTTATTTTATTAAATGTTTTAAAGACTTAAGTTGCCTATTTTATGGCGAGTTGGATATATTATTTTTATTCTAAGTTCCTCATTTCAGTTAAAGTTTTGAAAAGTTGAGTTTATTGAATTTTATTCGGTTTTAAGCTTTTGCATGCTTAAGTTAGTCTTCCGCTTGTAGTCAGCCAGGATGAGGATTCACTTGGGGACCAACAATGGTTCTTGAGTGCCAATCACGTCCAGGGTGTAGACTCGGATCGTGACAGTTGCTGACCATCTTAACTACCAAGTTAACAAGTAAGTTCCCTTTCATTTCTTCCTTTTTATTTTATTTTTCCAGTGCCATAGACCATAGTATTTTTTCAGAATTCATTCCATGTGAAAAATTGTGTAGGTAGGAACTCTTCATTCATTGGACAATTTCTCGTGTGATTATTTACGTGAATTCAAGTTTGCGTTGATTGCCTCCCTTTATTATATATTGGGCTAAGGGCGGATCTCTAAACTAAAAGTTCTAGTTAAAACATGCAATCTCTAGATCCCTTATAATTGACAACCTTAAAAAACACTAATTTAATTAATTTAAAAACACATCTTAAAAATACTAATTTATGTTTGTTTTCAATACTAAATTACAAAATAAAAACACATCTAAATTATCTATTTTAAAATCACATGCTAGTAAATATATTTTATTTAATTTTGAATGTTTTTAAGGTTGTCAATAATTCTAAAATGAAACTAATAATTTACATAGAGTCTATGAGTGATTAAATGGTTCGATTTTCACGTACTACATTATTCGTGGGGCCTACCCTAGCAAATATATTTTATTTATTTTGAATGCTTTATTTATTAAAAAGGAAAAAAGAAATAGAGAATGGTTGTATTTGTATTGTGGCGTACTTTTTGTGACCCATATGCTATATACCCTAGCAAAGACTTTAGAAGGACACTATACACTTCCTATTTTATTTAATGATATAACTTAACAGTAAATTTTAATAATGAAAACCATTCAGTACCAAGCTAGTACTGAAATATTACAAAGTAAAGGAATCCTTTATATCTACAAGGATTCCAGAAAATAAAAAATAGCATCAATCTCATTAGAAAACACAACATTGCACAACACTTTTATGACACTATACACTAGTGTTTTGGACGGCGAGAGGCGACAAGGGCCTGCCTCACCATGCGGCGAGGTGCTTGCCTTTTTTAATCGCGGCGCCAATTAATACCAAAATTTAAAAATATTTAATTGCATACATAAATATCCAAAATCTCAATAACAATAACATATATTAGCAAATTAATATATGCTATGGAGTATCTGATGCCATTGAATTCACTGTTTATGGAGTATGGACAAATAAATACTATATTTATTAGTATTAAAACTAAATTAAGTTGCATTGTTGCAAAGAAATAATTATAGAAGATTTTATTTTTTAAATGTAGGCAGTGGGCAGTGGCTTCAGTTCTTCTTCAGAAATTAGACTTCACAATAAAAAATAGAGGGACTGAGAGAGTAGTAAAAACAGAGCAAAAGAAGAGAAGAGAGATTGATTCGAGAAAAGAAGAGAAGAGAGAAGTCACGACTCATGTAAGAGAAGAGAACTCATAGCAGCAGCAGTCGCGACTCGCGTCCAGTCAAGCTCGCAGTAGCAACAGTCGTCGCGAACTCTAATTGCAGTCGAGGTATTGATTTCAAGTTTCCAGTCGCGAAATGAGAAGGAGCAGTCGCGATATCAAGTTTGAAAAAATACCCAAAAAAACCCTAATTTGGTTATTTGGCTTTTAATTATTAATATTAAGACTTTTAAAAATAATAATAAAAAAGGCAACGCCTATTGCATCGCCATTCCATGTTACCGAGTTGCATTGGCTCGCCTTTTTTACCTCGCCACGCCTCGCCGGAAATAGGCGCAAACCCTCGCTACGCCACGCCGCGCTCACCTTTAAGAACACTGCTATACACTTTCTAACACTTCTACAGAATATGTGAAATATTAACTATCAAGTTGTCTAATACACTCATCTTAACTCAAAGGTCCATTAGGGTAGATTAACTTGGATATTAAGAGGCGTTTGAGATCAAGTAAATATCAAGATGAACAGAAATTAAACCTGGATTTTTGGTAATCAGAATTATTTGGTAAATGACTTAACATAACCGCCCACCCATGTCACTAATACAATGATAAAATAGATTCAATTTTTATTTTTTTTACTTACTTAAACTTGTTTCAAGTCAAAATTAGACAAATAAATTGAAACGGAATGTGAACAATTATACAAACTTCAGCATTTGTTTAACTACAATTCTACACATAAAAAATGAATTACTTGTGATACTCATCCTTAAGCTCAATTAAACATTACTCCTAGTTTCCTACCAATTTACAAGAACAAAAAAAATCATGAAGTATCAAACTGCTTGAATGAATAGAATCGATATTAATCATTTGAAAGAGGTGAGGGTAGAGCCTTACAGTATACAGTGACGAGGGAAGAAGGCGAATCTTTGAATGTAAGTTGGTTGCCGCAGGTTGATTTGAGGTGTTTTTCCGGTAAGGATTTCCGGCAAGTGTATGGGATTAGGGCAGAGATCTCTAATGCATAGGAAGAAGAGGGGTTTGGGTTTTTGAGGGGTGGATTTGATTAAAATTACTAAATTGATCCCTTATGTTTGAGGTAGGTTTAAAATAGTTCCTTAAATATATTTTTGAACGGTTTTAGTCCTTTAGTTACAAAAAGAAAAATGTTTTTGGTCTCAGTCAAATATTTAACAAACTCTAACTATTAAATTTAACGAAATTATAAAAAAAAATGTTAAAGAGAAAAGTTGCACATAACCAACAATGACAAAATGCATTAAACCAAATTATCTTGAGTCACTTGAAAAGTTTATCGAGTATTTGTTTCAATTCGATGTTGAATTCTAAGGAGCTGATCATATTTGATTTGATTTCAAATATAATAGTCTCTCTCATGGATTTTTTATTAACGCTATCTCCAACCCACCTTTGTTTTACTCTCTATTCTCTATATTTGGAGAGTAAAATAGAGAATGCCCTCTCCAATCCCTCTCCATATTACTCTCTATACTCCATTTATAGAGAGGTGAATATTCACTCTCTATTTTACTTTTTGAATATTTTATTATTATTTTTATTACTTTCTAATTAACACATTATTTTACATATAATGTCATTAATTAAATATCTAATATTCATACTTCTTTTTAAATGTAATATAATATTTTAAAAAATATATTATTTAATATATACTAGTTTCATCCCGAATTAATAGTAATTTAATTTTTTCTAATTTTCGTCGACAATATAGTTTGATTTTATTATTAATTTTCACTATAAAGAATACACAAAATTAAAATGATAAGATGAATTTTTTAATTTAAAAATACAACACATAATTAATTTAAATACGAGATAACAATAAAATACATAACATAATAATTAAATACAATACATAACATATTAATTAATTCGCGATGAAACAAGAATCATGTCGAAAAGATGTTGAACGTGCATTCGGAGTTTTGCAATTTTTGCAGGACCGTCACGTTTTTGAAGAAAGGAAATGCTACATGATATAATGACTACATATATTATACTGCACAACATGATAATTGAGGATGAACGTGATCTTAATGCACCAATTCAAGATGTCTTAGATGCTCCAACTCCAACGAAAAAAATGGAGGTAGATGAGAATCTCCGATTTGAACAACTTTTAGCTAGACATAAATAAACTAAGGACAAAATGTTCATTTTGAACTTCGTAATGCATTAATAGAGCATTTATGGGAGTAACGTAATAATTTCAAAAATTGAGTGTTTATGTAATGTTTATGTAATTGTATTTCACTTTTATTTGAATTTGTCCATTAATTTGTATATTATAACATTTTCTTGCAATTTATGTTATTTAAAATTTAGAATAAAATATAATTTTATATCAAATAAAAATATTGAAAAAATAAAATTTTATATCACATGAAAATTATATAAAGTAATATTGGGAAAAAGAAATAAAAGATTTATATTATAAGATAAGAAAAGAAGGATGAGATAGAAATAATAATATAGTATTGAAGAGAGAGAAAAAGATTCTTTTTAAAGAGTAAAGTAGAAAATTGGGTTGGAGTTGGTTGTCTAAAAAAAATAGAAAACTCTATATTTGGAGAGTAAAATAGAGTGTAGGATTGGAGATGCCCGCTTATTCTTAGCCTATAAAAAGGGTGGAGAAAAGATAGTAGTTCTAATACCCTTTCATGTGAAATAAAATACATCGTCACAAATTTAGAAGGCGATATAATATCTCATTATTAAACAAAAAGTGGTTCTCCATTTTTCCCTCACAACTTCTTAATTTACTTCCTCTATTCTTGCCTCATAAGTGTGGAGGATATTAACCTGAACTCTATCCATTTTTATGACAAATCATTCACCCTTTTTCACTAAAAAAGAAAAAGAAAAATAAGAATATTAAAGAGAGATAAAATATATCAATTAGGGAAACACAATTTGTACGTATGATTATAAAAAATGGGAATGACAAAACGTAATTTGATTTTGTTCTTTGTTTTGGTTGTTCTAGTTGTTACCATTGAGGCACATATTAAGGAGTTTGATGAGAGGTGTGGAAGAAGCGAGCCCAACAAGCAAAGAAGGCCGCTCGACATGCCTATAACCCTAATCCTAAGATTGTTGTTGACCATCTTAACTACCAAGTTAACAAGTAAGTTCCCTCTCATTTCTTCCTTTTTATTTTATTTCTTATTTTTCCTGTGCCATAGACCATAGTATTTTTCAGAATTCATTCCATGTGAAAAATCGTGTCTTCATTCATTGGACAATATCTCGTATGATTATTTACGTGAATTCAAGTTTGTATTTGTTACTCCTCCGATTTGAGTTGATCGATTTAGAATCTTTTGTTGCTTTATCCTCCATTTTGCGTAACACTGATGGACTTCAGCTCTGGAAGAGACTAGAACAGAGGGGAGGATAAAGTAAGACTTTAGAAGGACACTATACACTTCCTTTTTTATTTAATGATATAACTTAAATGTAAATTTTAATAATGAAAGCCATTCAGTACCAAGCTAGTACTGAAATATCCTAACCAAGGACATTCAAGGGGGAGTTGCTCGAATAGTAAGCACCACTCACTTCACTTTCATCCCAAAGTGATGAGATTAAATCACAAGGGAGCAAAAAGAGAGGGAGCTTGTAGGGAGGGATAAAATAAAATAAAAAAGTTGATTAGAGACATTGTTTTATTACAACATTGTCCTCAACTTCTATACATATACATGTAATTGTTTTGTGATAGTTAAAATCCTCAATCAGGCGTTGGATGTTTTTGTTATTGATGAGTAAAAAGTTAGAGGTTGCTTCCTTTATTAGTATCGTGTGTAACTAATTCATAAATATGAATCTCCCAGAATAAGCATCTAAAAATCAACAAATTTGCATGTTGAAATAGAAAGTGAATTGAGAGAATTCCTCAGCATAAAGAAACTCACCAAAGAAACAAGTGGGGATGAACGGAAAACCTGCAATCTCTCTATGCCTCTGTGGACGCTTCATTGCAAAAAGTTCTATACAACTCCCTAAATAATCAAAATAAAAGAGAAGCAAAGTTTGCTTTGAAGTACCTCAAATTTACATTTAAGATTGCACAGAATGTTGAGAAACAAAACAATACCTACACAATAGTCATAGCCATGATGTATATTCATCAAGGTCTCAAGTCAATAATAAGTCTTATGGGGTTCAACTAGGAGAAGGGTTAAGCGTAAAACAAATTACGGAACATTCTCAAAATACATAATATAAAATGAAAGGAATACAAATCAATACAAGGTTGGAGTGACCCAAATTGGTGGACAAACATGACCGAGTGACATGGTTATAATGGGGTTCGAAGCTGTGCCATTTGCTAAACTAAAAACACCCATATCCAACCCGCTCCCTTCTACTTAAGATATATAGTATAAACTCCAGCAGCAGACACCTTAGTACATTACAAAACAAACTGATATGCCAAATTTATAGAACAAAAAAAGCAAAAGCCCTGGATGCCAAAAATATACAGAGCAGAAATTCAACAGCTCTACAGAGTAAAAGCCCAAGAAGCCAAATCGCTTATTAATAGCTAAAATGGATCAGACCATTGGATTTCCAATTAATCAAAGAAAAAGCCAGGCAGTTAATAACTGGTTATAATAGCACAATGGCTATAACTAACTTAGAGACCAGCTCTAATAGATTCAGAAAGCTACACTGTGCACAATATAAATCTTAATGTAGCCGAACTTATCAAAAGCTACACTGTGCACAATATAAAACCACGACTTTTAAGAGAAAGATAAAATTCACAGACACCATAGACGAATGATACAATTTGTTCTAAGAAAATCAATCAAAAAAGAAGCTGTATTTGACATTTGAGATTGCAAGGAATGCTAAAAAGCCAAATAACACATACACTACAGTCATAGCCATGTGCGTATTCATAAAGTTCACAAAGCAGCAATAAGTCTTATGTGAGCCAGTTTCTTATCTTGAAGAAGTATGAGTATAGTGATAAGAAGTTACATAGTACCAAGCCACTTCAATAGGCTTGGTACTATCACCCATTTATTATGCAAAACAAACATCATCTTCAAGCATCATACGTAGATTAGGATAGACGGTAGAGCATGAACATCAGATGACTTGTTCTCTCCCTTTATTTCTTCTTTTCTGCTAACCAATTTCAGTTCCGAACTTATTATAAATCTAAACATATACATAAATATAAATATATAACTTACGTTGCTCAACAAGAAAAAAAGGCTTTTGCATAAAAATAAATTATGAAACATTCTCCAAATACAAATACATAATATAAATAAAAGAGGAAGCAATACAGATCAATACAGGGTTGGAGTGACCCAAATTGGTGGACAAACACAACTGAGAGAAACACCGTTGTAGTGAGCCTCGGAGCTGCCATTTGCTATGTTATAAACACCCATATCCCTGCCACCCCCTTCTTCATAGAAGAGGTATGATTCCACAAAATCATCAGTATAATAAATATGATTGTGCTTGACTCCTGGAAATTGAGAAGCCTGTACTGAGATAGATGCATTAGCACCCAAAACAAGAGCTTTGTCCCCTACTTGCTTGGTTTCCCTCAATTCTCCAGCGGCTAAATCGACCTCAAAAACTCCAAAATTTGTTGTCTCATAAGTTTCCTTACTATCATTGGGATAAATTGGTGTTAATGAAATCCTCATGCTGCTATCTTCCCTGATGGGCGCTCTACTCTGTACACCGTATCGAATAATTGCAAATAATGATCCCATTAATTCTAGGATATAGAACTCGTCTCCCTTGTGTTGAGGTGGTAAGATGGCTACTATTTGAGTGTGAGTGGTACTAGAACCAGGTACATCATAGACTAACACACGACCACACCAATCAACTGCATAAATTTTTTCAGTATAATAGACCAGATCACGATGTATGTGTTTATAGGGAGAGTTTCTGTTGTCAATCCTGGTCCATCTCAAATCTCCTGGCCTCCAAAAATGGAAGAATTTCATATTTTCGTCAATCACAGCGAGAATGTAGTTCGATGTATGAGAAGGACTAGCTGATAAAATTGCTTTGTGAAAAAAAGTCCATGGATAGCCTCCCTCATGGTCTTCATAATCTTTGGTGGTATTTGGATGGGGCAATTCGATCTCAACACCCGAGAAGGGATGTAGCAGGCTTGTTTCACTCTCATCTTTCCCGATTGTGATTAGCCATCCCATAGACTCTAGACATCGTTTTTCTATGGCTTTCAGAATCCTCTTGTTTAAAATCATGCCACTGTAGAGGCTGAAGAATTTTCGACAGGAATTGTCTTTATCCTCCTGATCCTCTGCTAACATCAACCACGAAATTCTAGGCATGTCACTGTTGAAATTGTCCTTGGTGGCAGCACATTGCCAAGATTTACAGACGGCCGCAAAATTATGATACTAATTTGGGTTCAACAGACACGTAATACTTCAATCACATGGCAGATACCACGTCATTGCTGAGCTGGAAGGTCACACACCATTAGCATGACTACTATTTTGGCGGGAAAAGTAGTTAGAATCAGTTCCTATGTTCATTTCTAGTATTCATTGTATTTTCCTTTAATTCTGATTAAGTAGTATTAATAGGAGTGGATAGTACTTTAAGGCATAATTTGAATGTGATAGCTCAATATAATTTTCATTTCCCCTCTCATTCTCTCTCAATTTCTCCCCTGTTCTTCATCCTTCTCTTAATTCTTCTTCTTTCTTCTTCTTATCTGCATTTCACTCTCTTGATTCCTTAATTTTGGTATCAATTGGTATCAGAGCCAGGTTAATCTTAAGCTATGGGACCACGAAAAAATACTGAAATTATTTCTGAAGCAGCTGAATATAATGTCCAAGAGCAATTTGAGGATTTGACAGCTCAACAGTTGGACCTACGTTCTGTAATGGATGAGCGACATCAGGAATTGAGGTTGAACATGGATCGTAGACAAGTAGTGCTGATGCGATTAGACCAATCATTGAAGGACTCTGTTGATGGGATGCGACTGCACCAGCAAGCCAAGGAGAGAGATGCGGCTTTGAGTTCAAGTGAACCGCTACCAACTGTTGGTCATGGAATTTTGGGCCCTAATCCGTTTCATGTTAGTAACCATCGTAATCACAATTTACTTTTTCCCCGTTTCAATGGAGAAAATCTAAAAACATGGTTGTATCAGATATATCAGTATTTTGCTGTAGATAAAACTCCAGTAAATCATAGGTTAAGGCTGGTAGCCATGAACTTGGAAGATGAGGCTTTAGCTTGGCATCAAGCTTACTTGCGGTGTAGAGATCCACCTTATGTAATTGGGTGGGATGAGTACTTGAGGGCAATAACTGAATCTTTTGGGGATGATTTTGCTGATTCTATGCTTGAACTTAAGCAACTAAGACAAACTCGAACAGTAAGGGAATTCCAATTTGCATTTAGTAGGCTTTTAACACAGTGTAATCTCACTACTGCCCAAGCCATTTCCTGTTTCTTAGGTGGATTGAAGGATGAGTTGGTAGGGACTATACTGATGCATGAACCACAAACCTTGTCTAAGGTGTTTAGGTTGGGTAGATTAACGAAAGCTACTCAGCTAGTTAATGCTAGATCTCAAAATAGAGCATTGGAACTACAAGGAGGAGTTGTTAAAAAACAACATCATGAGACACTTGTTACAAGGCCACAACCTATCAATTATAATTAGGGGACTCGATTGACTTTGCCATCTTCTACTGGAGGCAGACCTAGGAGAACTATCTCCCCAGCTGAAATGCAAGCAAAAAGGGCTCAGGGGTTGTGTTATTTTTGCGATGAGAAGTACAACATTGGTCATAAATGTAATCTTCCTAAACAATTATTTGTTTTAAAGATGGACAATATCGAGTTAGAAGATCTAGTACCTGAACTGGAATCTCCAGTTAATGGTAACACGTATGGGGAAGCTGAAACCATAGTCGATGGTACTAATCCTTTGATTTCATTGTGTACCCTTGCTGGAATTCAGGGTGCTCAAACTATTCATGTGAAGGGATATAGTGGTAAGAGACTAGTTCAGATATTACTTGATGGAGGTAGTACACACAATTTTATTGACAAATATTGTGTGAAAAGGTTGGGATGTACTGCTGTTCCTACTCTCACGAGCTATGTGAGTCTTAGCAACAATGCTAAGGAGACCACAACTGGAGTAGTTAAGGACTTTGGGTGGATGCTGCAGGGCATTACTTATCAGTCAGATTTAATAGTGTTCCCTATTGGTCGATATGATATTGTTCTGGGAGCATTGTGGATGAAGACATTGAGTCCAGTGACCATGGACTTTATATAACTTACTATGTCCTTCAATCACCAAGGAAAGAAACATGTACTTAAGGGGGTGCATGAAGATTGTAGGCTGGCCAGTTCCAAAGCTGTGAACAAGTTATCAGGAGATGAGGTTGAATTATTCATGTTACAAATGTTGCCAATTATGAATGGGGAAATCGTTATGGGACAAAACTTTGCCCTACAGTTATTGAAGGAGGAAACCATAACATCTGAAATTGGTGTTTTACTTGATCAATATCATAAGATATTTTCTGAACCTACAATCTTACCTCTTCCAAGGGGTCCATTTGATCATAAGATCCCTCTACAAAATGGAGCCAAACCTGTCAATATCAGACCTTACAGATACTCAGCTATGAAGAAAGATATTATAGAGAAGTTGGTCAATGATATGCTCCAACAAGGTGTTATTCAGTATAGTAACAACCCCTTCTCTTCTCCAGTGGTGGTTGTGGGCAAGAAGGATGGCACATAGAGATTGTGTGTAGACTATAGAGAGCTTAATCAGTGCACGATAAAGGACAAGTTTCCTATACCTATTATTGATGATCTTCTGGATGAGCTGACAGGAGCAAGAGTATTTTCCAAGGTGGATCTGAGATCTGGTTATCACCAGATTAGGATGGTAGTTGATGATGTCCCTAAAACTGCTTTCAAAACTCATCTTGGTCATTATGAGTTCCTCGTTATGCCTTTTGGCTTAACTAATGCACCTTCTATATTCCAATGTTTAATGAATCACATTTTCCAACAACATTTAAGGAAATTTGTATTAGTGTTTTTTGATGACATTCTGATTTATAGTAGGTCATTACAGGATCATGTTAACCATTTGAAGTCAGTTTTTGACCTTATGATCCACCGTCAGTTGTTGGCGAAGCAATCAAAGTGTGTGTTTGGGGTTTCAATGGTCGAATACTTGGGGTATTATATTTCCTATGAAGGGGTTTCCACTGATCAAAAGAAGATCCAGGCTGTTCAGAGTTGTCCTGTTCCTATTACCCTCAAACAACTAAGGGGTTTTTTAGGTCTGGCAGGTTATTACAGAAAGTTTATTCAAGGATATGGAATCATTAGTAGACCGCTCACTGAGTTGTTGAAAAAAAGACAATTTCATATAGTTCGACAGTGCTTTTCAAGCTTTTATGGAGTTGAAATCAGCATTGGTTGCTGCACCTGTTCTTGCTCTACCTGATTACTCTATTCCATTTGTTGTTGAAACAGATGCTAGTGGTAATGGCATTGGTGTTGTCCTTATGCAAAATGACCACCCTATTGCTTTCATTAGCAAGGGTTTATCTGCATGCCATGCTGCTCTATCTGTGTATGAAAAGGAATTATTGGCCTTGGTATTTGCTATCACCAAGTGGGCCCACTACTTACTTGGTCAACACTTCATTGTTAAAACTGATCACCAAGCCTTGAAATATCTATTGGAGAAAAAGCTACATACAGATTCTCAGATTAGGTGGTTGGCTAAACTGTTGCCTTTTGACTTTGAAATTCAGTATAAAAAGGGTAAGGAAAACCTAGTTGCAGATGCTTTATCTAGGATCCAAGGTGCAGAACTTATGTCCATGATGATATCTTCAGTCCAAGCTGATTTATGGGATGAGATCAAAAGCTAGTTGGACTACAGATCCTACATTACAAGTCCTTATTCAATCCTTGCTGGTGCAACCTCGTAAGCATTTCACTTGGCTTAATGCACAGCTGAGACGAAAAGGGAAATTAGTTGTTGGTGATGATGCTTCCCTTAGAACCAAAATCTTATCACTATGGAACTCTACTCCTGCTGGTGGGAATTCAGGCATTGATGCCACTACTAGGAAGGTCATGACCTATTTCTATTGGAAGGGTATTCGATCAGATATAGCTAATTTTGTACACAAGTGTGATGTGTTCCAGAGGAACAAGTATTATACATCAACTTATCTTGGTCTACTCCAACCCTTGCCTATACCTGCTTTGCCATGGACAGATATATGTATGGACTTTATTGCAGGACTCCCTAGATCTAACGACAAAACTGTTATTTGGGTAATCGTTGATAGATTAACCAAAACTGGTCATTTTATTGCCTTATCACATCCCTATAATGCGCAATCTCTTGTTCCTATCTTCTTGGATAACATTTTCAAGTTGCATGGTTTCCCTGCAACTATAACCAGTGATAGGGATCCTATATTCATTAGCAACTTTTGGAAAGCATTTTTAAATGCTCAGGGGGTGTCCTAGCAGACTTCTACAACTTATCATCCTCAGACTGATAGTCAAACTAAGGTTTTGAATAGGTGTCTTGAAACCTATCTCAGATGTTTTTGTACTGATGCTCCTGCTGATTGGGTTTCTTATCTAGCCTTAGCTGAGTGGTGGTACAACTTTAACCCACATTCTGCTATTCACTCTTCTCCTTTTGAATTGTTAAATGGCTATCCTCCTCCCTTACATCTTCCATACTTGCCTGGTGACTCTGATTCTGCTGCTGTTGAGGATTTTATGCTCAACAGACAGTTTAAACTCGAGTTGGCTAAGTTTCATTTACATCGAGCCCAACAAAGAATGTGTGCACAGGCCAACACTCATAGGTCTGATAGGCATTTCCAGGTTGGTGATTGGGTTTATGTTAAACTTCAACCTTATAGACCATCTTCCTTGTCTATTTTTCCATATCACAAGCGCACTTCTCGATTTTTTGGTCCATATCCCATTGTGGAGAAGATAGGTGTTGTGGCATACAAACTCCTCATCCCTCCTGAAGTGCAAATCCATCATACTTTTCATATTTCTCAGCTTAAATTTTGTCATGAACTTCCTAGTACTATAGTACACCCTCCTATCATTGACTTATCTAGTCTTTATTGCCCTGAGCCTGAATATATCTTGGAGCGCCGAATCGTGAAGCGTGGTAATAAGGTGGTTGCTCAGTGGCTTATTCAGTGGTCTGGCCTTGATCAATCTTATGCTACTTGGGAATTGGCTTCTACATTACAGATTCAGTTTCCTTCTATCACCCTTGTGGACAAAGGTGCTGTTTCACAGGGGGGTATTGATACCAATTTGGGTTCAACAACCACGTAATACTTCAATCACATGGGAGATACCACGTCATTGCTGAGCTGGAAGGTCACACACCACTAGCATGACTACTATTTTGGCGGGAAAAGTAGTTAGAATCAGTTCCTATGTTCATTTCTAGTATTCATTGTATTTTTCTTTGTATTTTCCTTTAATTATGATTAAGTAGTATTAATAGGAGTGGATAGTACTTGTAAGGCATAATTTGAATGTGATAGCTCAATATAATTTTCATTTTCCCTCTCATTCTCTCTCAATTTCTCCCTTCTTCCTCATCCTTCTCTTAATTCTTCTTCTTTCTTCTTCTTATTTGCATTTCACTCTCTTGATACCTTCACTTTGGTATCAAATTAAGGTAGTCCTCAATAAATTTATATGCTTAACTATTAGAACCAGCAGATCATATTGAAGCTCAGACCAATTCGACAGACTTGTGCTTAATATCGGGAATCCTCTAAGGTTTTTTTGTTTTGGTTGAAAAATCCTCTCAAGTTAAAGATACACAAACCTTATAACACGCCGTATATATAATTGAAAGAGATATCCTAATTCCTTTTTACTTTCTTAAACTCTGTGTCAATTCAAAACATATAAACTTCAATATTTTTGTAATACAATTTTCTACACATAAATAATGAATTGTTTGTGACACCAATCATTGAGCTCAATTAAATATTACTCCTAGTTTCCTACCAGTTAGCAAGAAAATAGAAAGAGCCTTATAGTATCCAGTGGTGAGGGACAAAGGACACGCTTTTAATGTAAGTTGGTTTCCACCGGTTGATTAGAGAAGTTTTTCCGATGAGGATCCCGGTGAAAGTATGGAATTAGGGCAAAGGTTTCTAATCGGGGAGGGAGAAGACGAGTTTGGGTTTTTGAGGGGTGGATTTAAATTAATATATATATATATATATATATATATATATACCAAATAAAACCGTTTAAATGGTTTGGTAAAATTTCAAATAAAATTAGGATGAGATAAACTGCGTTTTGTAAATTAGGTTGTAAAATCCTACTCAATACTCCCTCTTCCTGCTCCGTTATCTAGTTTGGTAGTTTTTTGTTACTAAATCTATCTAATTTCTCCCAAAATTACTTTTTTTTTTAATAGAAATGTTGTTCATCTCTCTTTATTTTACTTTGTTCATCTCTTTTCCTTAACCTCATATTCTTAGCACATGCTTCTTTAACCACACCATGGGATACATAGTCCTTTCGGTTCCCTGACATGATAAAGATCGGAAAGAGATTTTCCTTTCGGGAGTCCCCGAGTGACCTTGCAGCTACTTGAAAATATATACTCACACTCTTTGTACACAAACACTCACTCTTCTTTTTTTATATAAAAAAAGTAAATATGTAAAACTTAAAACTTTGAGAAACTCTCAAACTAATTTCTGTAATATGCTCTGTTTGCTTTGTTCTTCACTCTATCTTTCTTCTAGCAAATGGTCTTTTATTTATTGCTGAGGATCCGAATCTTAAATTCGGATTTTAAATTTCGAATAAGCTTTCTTCACCTGCCGGGTGCTCTTTGGGCCCCATCGTCACATGGCTTTTGAAAACTTTTTCAAAAATAATTGTCCTCCTTTTGTTTTTTTTTGGGTAGTGGAGTCTTCTTTATAGTAGTGGCTTGTGATGTCATTGCTTACATATTCTTTTTTGTCTTTTCCTCTTGGTCGTCACTGCGTGCGTATGCTCTATGTGTCTAGGTTGTGTAGTGCAACGGAGTCGAAACTCATTCCTGAGTCATCGTCTTCATTTGGGTCTTGAGCAAATTGGTCTAGAGATGGATTGTATTCGTCACTTCTACTTCCCGAATCTTTAGGATCAGAATTTACTAATTCTAGTTCTGGATTTGGGTATTCCTGTATAACTTCTTTAGTCTTCTCGCTGAGTAACTTGTAAAGAGAACTTTGTATTAATTTTTCAATCTTTTTGTCTTTTTTTTCTTTTTAAAAGAAAACCTTTAGTTTTCCTACTTGTCTCTGCCCTTGTAGTATTTTTGAAACGTGCTGGTAAAATTCTCACACTTTTTGGCAAAGTGTCAGCCATTAACGGATTTGATAAGTCTTCACCTGTTACCATTTGAACGGGACTAGTTGTACCTTTAGCCGATACAATAGCTCATTCTACATTCTTTGGGGAAGGCACACCCGTCTTATCCATTTTGGAATGAGATGTAGAACTCTTTTGTTTGTCTGATTCTTTTAATGGTATGGTCTGGTTGATATCAAATTGCAAAATCTTTATTCTTTCTTGCAGGATATGAATATGTTGGGTTAATTTTTCTTTTTCCTTTTCGAGTCTGTCAATATTTTGATTATGTCTCCTAAAACCTTCTATCATTGACGAACAATGATCACAAAATATGATTTTGTCCGTGTCTTTCTTGATGTTGTATTGTATGAACGGACTTGTGGTTTGTCTTAATGCTGGACTTATGAAAGAGTTTGGTCCCAAATTTCCTCTTGCATAGTCTAGGGCATCGTTTAGATCATCGAATCCTTTGAATAGGGGAGTGGGGAAGTCTTTTATAGAACTTATTACTTCTGTCCATGTCTGAAAAATGCCTACTAGTCTTCCTTGAACTACCACATAGAATTTAAACTTCTTATTTTCATTTTTCTCAGTAAATTAATGGCTTAATGAATTTAACACTGAAATGAAATAGTTGTTGTCTCTTGGTATCTTGTTGTAGGCTATCCACAGATTATCTATCAAGCATCGTTGAGGTCTATCTATTTTTTTCCCTGGTTTTACTCGAAAACTTAGGTTCGATGGTGGATAGAATATCAAATTCTGTTTTCCAAAATATAGTCTTTCTATGCTTGGGGTGTTTAGTCTGGCTTCTTCCAATTTTGTCTGAGGTTTAAACAAACTGTTTCTCAATAGAGTCTGTAAATGTAAGTCTTTGTCTTTTTGGCTTGTAGCGCTGCTTGAGTTGGAAGCTCTTGCTTCGTCTTTTCCTGTATCCATATTGAAACAAAATAGTTAGTTTTAATAAGCCTGCTAAGTTGATCTGCTAAAGAATTATCCTTGCCTTTTATATGTTCTAGAGTAATATTGTATATTGAAGTAGCCTCTAGAAAATTTAACCATCGTGTTTTACTACTACTTTTTCCATTTATTTTTTGGTGAAACTTTACAATGGCTTCACAATCAGTTCGTACTAAAATTTCTTTTTTATTTATAATGTATAATTTAAAATTGTTTAATCCGTAAATTATCGCTAGTATCTCTGCATCTATACTGCTCATATTCCCTTTTTCTCTGTATTTTCCACTTTGATAAGCACATATCTTTTCATCTTTTTTGTCTTCATATTTGTTTTTCTTTGTTTTTAAAACCACTCCCCATCCTTCTAAACTTCCATCTGTTTTCACTATTGGATAATCTGTTTCTAATGGGAGAGATAGGTCTAGTATGTTTTTAACCATTTTTAATTTCTGAATTAATTTTATGTCTTCAGTATTGAAAGTTTTTTGTCCATGTATTCCTGTTTTTGAGTATAGAGGTCTTGCTACTTTGCCTAAGTCTTTTATGAAGTTTCTTGCATAATTTAGGATTCCTAAAAAATTTTGTAAGTCCTTAGTGTTGTCTAATTTATCTGGCATATCTAAAACCTTTTTGGCTATATGAGGTTGTAATTTTATTTTACCATTTCCAATTTCTACTCTTAAGAAATTTATGAGACTTTTGCATAACTCCATCTTTTTCTTAATAATGATTATTTCACTGTCTACGAATAGTTTAAATACTGTTTGTAAATGTCCTAAGTGTTCTTTAATAGTATGACTAAATACTAGAATATCATCTACGTATACTAGAATATAATTTTTATATTCCTTAAAAATATTATCCATTTTTCTTTGGAAAATTGGATGGGCTGTCTTTAGTCCAAATGACATTCCTAACCATTCGAAGTGTCCTTCTTGACAAGTAAAAGCAGTCCATTCTATACTGTCTTCATGCATTTTAACTTGCCAATATCCAGATTTACAATCAAACTTGCTAAATATTTTTCTTCCTTGTATTTGATTTATTAGTTCTGATTTGTCTAGTAGTTTATAGCCATCCATTCTGATATTGTCATTAAGTCTCTTATAATTTATTACCATTCTAGCCCTTCCTCTTACTATTTCTCTATGATTTCTTACCATAAATGCTGCTGACCTATGTCTTGAAGTTGATCTTCTTATTACCCCTAATTTTAATAATTCTTTTATCTGATCTTCGAATTTTTCCAGGTCTTCGTTCGTTGATTCTATCGATGCAGTTTTAACATTGTATTCAGGGTTGATGATGTCAAGTCTGCAAGTTATGTGATTGGCTTCCAAGTGCTTCAGGGGTCTTCTCCAACTATCTCTAACTTGTCTAGAATAGAAATTACTTCATCTAAGTCTTTCTGATTTTTTATTACTCCTATATATTGTAAACATCTTTTGAAATTGTAAAGTTCTATATTTATTTCTATTAAATTATAACTTTTTTCTATATGCGTATCTGAGAGGCTTATTTCTAATAGTTCTATTTCTTCAATTTTTTCTTCTTTATTTATAATGTGTATCTTAGTACAAGTGCATTCTTCTCCTTTCTTGCATTTCGAGGTATTTGTATTAGGCTTATTTTTAAGATATCTAGATCTTGTTGGAATGGATTCAGTTGTTATTACGGTTTGGATAGTATTTTTAGAGAAGATTACTCCGTCTCTCGTAAGGAGACAACTGCCATTATTATGTAATAGGAAGTCTAATCCTAAGACAAAGTCCACTCTAATATTTAAATCTCTAACCCATATTTTTTCTAACTTGTACGTGGGTTTATAAAAGTCTGCACATGTGTTTAAAAAACTTATTTGTGCATTACTAACATAATGCTTATATACATTTGAAGATCCATCCATTTGCATGGCGCTTTGTGGTTCTGAAAATTCTTTTATTACATCTAAAGGCAATATTCCTCTATTTATTATACTTTTTGTACATCCTGAGTCTACTAGAGCTAGGGTTTCTATTTCACAGTCATGAATCCTTATTCTAGTTAGTATTTTTATGGTATTAATTTTCTTGTCTTCATTACAAATCAGTCCTTCAAATGACTTGTCGTCTTCTTTTTCGTTTAAAAGTTCTATTTCTAATTCTGGCGTTATAATCTGGCTGGGTTCTTCTTTTTGGCTGGTTTCTTCTACTTTCTTTTTCCGTTTTTCTAGTCTACTTATTCTTTCCTCTAAACTATCAATTCGTTCTTCTAAGGATTTTAATGTCTGTTCTTTTGTGCTTACAGTTGCTTCTATTATTTTAATATTAAAAAAAAATTCAATGCACCTAATGCAACCTTCTATATAACAATTCATGCATTTGACTCTTCTGTCTTTACTTGGATATCATGTACAATTAAAGCATCGTTGACTATCTAATCCTTTTCCCTTACAAAATTGGTGATCACATTGTATATTAACAAAAGTATAATTTTTTATATTTAAATCTAGCTTCTCTAATCCTATTTCATTTATTAAAGTTCCTTCTTCTGAATCAGATGAGTCTTGTTTTCTTCCTTCTACGACATCTATGCTTATTACTAAATATATGCTTTCATTAACTGACATATATTCATCTACATTTATCAGGGTTTCTTGGAAATCTTCTATGAGCCGAGCATTTCGTGTTCTACTGTTATTTCTACCTGGACAAGTATTAGCTAGATATTCTTCACTTCCACATGTAAAACAAGCTAGCCTATTTTTGTAAATTCTATTATTATTATGTTTTCTTACGTGTCTATCTTTATTTAGGTAAGGCTTTCTTGCCGTAGATCTTCTTAGATAATGCGTTTTCTTAGGTTTGTACTCTTGGTTATTTTGATATGTCCTTTTGTATTTTCTTTTTGGTGTACTTTGATCATAACTTTGTGTTGTATATATATTTTTACAAAAAACCAGTCTCGTTTTGTTTTAATTGTTTTTGTATTTGTATATTCGTACATTTCTCCTGTAATATTTCCATAACATGTTGTATTTTATGTCCTATGGACCAGTTTACATTTGAATTTTGTATTACTCCCTCTCTTTTGTTCCATCTTTCTTCTATTTCTCTTCCTAAGGCTCCAGGGAGTTTGTTAAAAAGATTTTTTCCTAAACTTTGATCAAATGCATTGCCACTTATGGCACAATAGTAAAAATAGTCTTTTAAGAAATTTTTATATGGCTCCAATTAGTTAAACTAAGTTGTTCTAATTTTATTAGCGCATTCTTTTGTAATACTACTAATCCGCTATTTGGGTCTTCTCTTGTTATTAAGCTATGTATTTTATTAGTAAAATTATACGGGTTTGGTCCCATGTTTACTAGTTCTTGGAATTCTTGAGGGTAAGCTACTTTGTATGCTTCCCATACTCCTTTAATTGACTCTCCTAGAAAAGTCTCCATGTATCTATACATAGTTTCTGCATCTGTTTCACTATAATGGTGTATATAGTCTGCTACTACTATTCCTTTCCGTACATCTATTACTGAATTTCATAATTGAGGGTCATGAGCTGCTACATTTAATATTTTTCCTCTATCTCCTCCATCTTGGAGTTTGATAGGGGATTCTATTGGCATTCTTATTCCTATGGGTCTGACCATTTCTGGTTCGGTTGCCGGATCCTGTCTATGTCGGGGCAAGTTACCTATAGTATATTCTACTGGTGGTACTTGAGTTGTCTATTGGAAGGGGCTTGAACTTGTAGAAGCAGTTTCCATAAATTCTTTTATACTATGTGTTGTTTCATCATCGCTTTCCTCTTGTGCATCTTCTTCTTGTCTATACCCATAATTGTTTGTTCTGAATTTACATTCTTTAAAGTGTTGTTCTACTATAGCAAATTCGATTTCTCCTAATTTACAGTCTTTACATTTCAATAAAGTAATTTTATTCAATTCGTGTATTTCTTTGGCCTTTGCTATTGATATATCTACTTCATAGTCTTCTTCTTTTATAATTTGAATATTCATTCCTTCCATATTTATGGTTGTTTCGTTGTCATCTAAATCTTCATCTATTTCTTTTTGGTCTGTATATCTGTAGTCGGTGAATCGAATTGAG